TTGCCGTTGCCGTTGCCGTTGCCGTTGCCGTTCTCGTTGCCGCTCCCGGCGGTCCCGTCGCTTGCGTACAGATCGTCCATGTTTTGCGAGAACGACCGGAGCGTCCGGGTCGTTGGGGATTCTTTGGTGGCCCCCGCGGACGGGGTCGGACAAGGGCCGGACGTCGGGGCACCGGTGCCAACATCCGCAGCGGCAGCCTTGGCCGCGGCCGTGCTTCCGGCCCCGGTGGTCCCGCCACCCGCGGTCCACGGAAACCGGGGTTCCTCGGTTTTGTCGCTGTCGCTGTCGTTGTCTCTGTCTCTAGCGTCGGCGTTTTCGGTTTCGGTTTCGTGTTCGCGTTCGTCCTCCCGCAACAGATCCACGGAGGCCGCGTCCTCCGCCTCCATTTTCCTCGTGTTTGCCCGCTCTGTTGGCTCCTTCGGACGGGTGCTCGTTCCGTTCTCTCTCTCTCTCTTTCCCGCTGTGGGTTGGGTTCGATCGGTTCCGGTGGGTGGGAAGCAGCCCCTGCATCGATCGACCACGGAAAGGTATTCCACGGCTCGGCTCTGGATGGGGAAGAACGGAAGCGGGATCGCTGTCGCACTCCACTAACGCATGGGAACGGCAGATTGCGTAGGCTGTGTTGTGTTGTGTTGCGTTGTGTTGTGTTGCGTAGGCTGTGTTGCGTTGCGTTGCTCCCGTGTGTCGTCGGAGCATCGAACGAAACCGGGAATCTTGCCGCGGCGAGCCGACGGGGCCTCTCCTGCCACGATTCGATGCGATGCGATGCGAGGCGATGCGAGGCGAGGCGAATCAATCAAGAACCCTCCAAAACCCGAAGTGGGGGGAAAACACGGAGACGGCCGCCGAGAACCGAGAGAAAGCCTCATTCGGAATTCTGCCACAGGGTATCCGTACGTAGTACAGTACGTACGTACGTACTCGTACCGGTATTCCTTCCTTCCTCACAAAGGTACGACTACGGTACGTACCTACATACCGAGGTACCCGTACGTACGTACCGGCCGGTATGGTACGGTATACGGTACCACACCGGACATCGTTCGAGTAATACTCTATTGGTTCAGTGCGGTATGGTACCACACCGGACATCGTTCGAGTAATACTCTATTGGTTCAGTGCGATGTTCGTACGGTACAGTCGTCCCCTACGGTAGTCTCCTACCGAACATACGTCTTCCTTAACTTAACTTAATTGGTTTTAGGGTTTGCTTATGTATTCTGAATTCCGATGGCCGGCGCTGCGGAATCTGTCATAGATATCATAGATACTTACTACTACGTATTTTGTTGCATTCGTTGACACCTACGTACCATAGTATGTACATAACCCTTAGGGTTTTTTTTCCTCGGAATTGTCGATTGTTAAACCGCGGATTGACACGTCCACAACCTCAATCCAGAGCGCTCCGAGACACCGTCGAACCTGTTCTTTGCAAGAGATCGCAAAACCATCGCGATTGAAGATCCGGACTAGTCTCGGTTTCCCACATCGTCGTTTTTTTATTTAACCTTCATTGCCTTTGAAATTCTTTCTGTTCTCCCGAATGGTATTGTTCGGTTCGAAAGGTCGCAATTTTTGTTTTTTTGGTACGAGTACTACGCGAAAAATAACAATTGAAACCTCCATTGTATGGAATGTTAATTTAACGTACAGAATATTAAACTGCAGAGCTAATATTCAGATTGTTAAGCACATTCGGAATGTTAAATTGACGTTCGCAATGCCTGCATTAACGTATTTCCAATTGTTATTTTAGGCGTAGTATTGGTATTGTGCATCCGATGGGGCTTTTGATGAAAGGAGAAGATCATTTATCAGTTAGAACCGCTTCCAATGGGTTCTATTTTAATTCTAAATAATTAGCAGGGGCGAAGGGCCGAAATGAAAACGACCCTGGTGCTGAAGGATCACATTGGTTTTATCATTGAACAGCTTCTGCCACCCATGCTCTAGATCCCCCTAAGAGTCTCGCAAGGCGGAACGTGTTGCACGTGATTCGCACCAATCCGCATCGGAACCGCCCCGCCGTGCACCACGGAAGCGTGATCTATTCAGGCACCAATGTTTTTTCAAAACCACCACCACCACCACCACCACCACCACCACCAACAACAACAACAGCAGCAGCAGCAGCAGCAACAACAGCAACAGCAGCAGCAACAACAACAACAACAACAGCAGCAGCAGCAGCAACAACAACTCTGTCTGTTGCCGATCGTTTCCCCAGACCCCCGGGATCGACAGCCATCGCAGCGGAACTTCGTCCCACCGTAGCTTTACCGCACGCCACCATGTCACCGAAGGGCAAGAGCATCTCCCTCGGCCAGTACTCGACCTTTCAGTACATGCTGGCACCCCCCTCCCTGGCCAGGCCCATCGTGGAACGGATCCCCAGCGTGGTCTTTTACGGGGAACCGAGGGACGAGAAGAGGAACGAACGAGACCACTATTCGCTGTTCGCGACCGAGCCCTGCACCCTCTGGAAGTACTACCTCTGCTGCCTGCTGGTCCTGCCCTCCCACGCTCTGGGGATGAGCGAGTGGGGATCGGGGGTCGTGGTGGCAACGGCGGCGGCCCATCCCGGGAGCCCGCCGCCAACAAAGGGGGAGGCGACCGATCCGTCCTTTCGGGTCCTCCGGCGCTTTCGGTATTCCTACTACCGCGGCCTGCTCGAGGTGGACACCTACCACGTCCTCGACGAAAACGAAAACGACGACAACAACGGCGGCGAATCCTTTCGCCTGGTCGAGTTTCTGAGCTCTCCGAACCAGCTCGCCGTCTGGGCTTTCATAGGCTTCTTCTACACAGGGATTCCCGCCGTCCTCCTCACCGCAAAACATGCCTTCGGACAGCTCGAGCGTTGAGAAAGAAACCGGATTGGGGCTAGGACCAGCAGTGGTGGTTGGGAACCTTGCATTCGCGTCGGAAAGCACTTGTCAAGCACTTGTTCCAAATACAGCAAGCAATAGCAAAAGTGAGCGAATCGATTGCCGAGAGATTCGTGGTCGCGAATGCCCCACTTGGTGTAGCAGAATAATTTTTTAAATTTTGGATTTTTTTGTTACTTTTAGAATTACGGTACTGTACTGTAATGGCCCCCTCTGTTCGCTTCGGTCGTTCGAACCAGAAATCCAACAACCAGGACCCCAACCACGGAAGTCTTACTCTGTCCGATTCCCCCGCGCAGTGCCCGCGTTGCGAGCCATCAGGGCCAGCTTTCCTGCCAGTGGAAGACCTGCCGCTCCCGGACGCTGCTCGTTGTGCCTCCTCCCGGTCCGGCCACACGCGGCCCCGTCGGGTTCTCGCTGCGGCCCGACCGGGCCAGGGACCGCGGCGATCGCCTCAGCTGGCCCCGGCCTTCCGTCTGCCGGTGGCGGACCTGCCGCTCCGGAGTGGAGGATTCCCTGCTTCTTGTCCCGAGCCGGGCCAGGAGCCTCTCGTTCTCGCCGCGGGCGGCCTCGAGCTCCCGCTCCCTCTCCCTTAGGAGGGCGTCCCGCTTTTCCAGCTCGCGGAACTGCTCCTCCAGGCGGGACCGGAAGAACTCCTTGACCGACGCCGCCGACGCCCTGGCTTCCTCCAGCTCCAGCCGGAGCGCCGCCTCGGCCGCTCGGGGTGATTCGAGCGACTCCCGCTCGGGGGCCGGTACCGGGGACTCCTCTTCCCGCTTCCCGAGGGCCGACTCCAGACCGGCCATTCGGTCGAGGAGGGCTTCCTGTCGATTGCAGATGTCCTCGAATCCCAAGAGTGCTTCGTGCTGCGCTTGTTGTTGTTGTTGTTGTTGTTGGTTGCTCCCGTTGCTGCTGGTGTTGTTGCTGCCGTTTTGGGGCAACCCAAAGGACGACAGCGACGCCGTTTCCGAAGCGGTGAGGTGCTTCTGCAGGAGGGCTGGGGATCCCGAGACCATTCCCGAGAGAACGTCGCGGATGTACGCGACGCAGTCCGCCAGCACGGGGAACTTTTTTCGCAGCAAGAACCGCACCAGGGCCCGGGGGGTCGTCTTCGACGGCGTGACCACGGACGTGGCCTCGCTGGCGGTGGACCGCGATCCGGCGCTCGCCGGGGTCCGCTTCGGGCCGCCGGAACCTTTCGGGGTGGTGCCGGTCGCATCCCCCGACGGGTGGTTCGGGTTCGCTTCTTCCCCCGCGTGGAGTGGTGCGGTCGTTGCGGGATCCCCCGCCGCCGGTTCGGTGGGCCCCGGGGTTGTTTCCCGTTCGGCACTCCCCGGACCGGCACCCAGGGCCGCCGCGGGCTTGTCGGTGGCGGCGGCTTCGGCTCCGGATCGGCTTCCAGCCTCTGCCCCGTCCCCATCCCCGGCGCGGGAGGCACCTCCATGCCCCGGAAACGGAGGATTCCCTTCCGAAGCACCCGTCCTCGTGTCGGACCTCCGCTTCCGTTTCCGAAACCGACCCGCGGCGGACCCGCTCTTTCCCGGAGCCGCAGAAACCCCGCTCGGCGGCCCGTCGTGGTGGGCTACGGTCTTTTGGCCGGCGGCGTCTCGCTCCGGGATCTCCCCCCCGGTCGGCCCGCGGACGGAACCGGGCGGGCTGCTGTTGCCCTCGCCCTCTTTCGGCGCACCCACCAGGCCGCTGCATCCGCCGGCCTTGGTGCGGTCGTGTTCGTCGATCTCGAGCCCGGGCCAGTACGGTTTCGGCGTCCGGGTCACCCTGGTGGTTCTCTGGCCGGCGATCCCCCGTCTCTTCTTGGGTTGGTAGACTTCCACCATGATTGCTGTCTCGGTGTCTGTTCCTCTCGGGGGGTCGCTGTGGTTGTTGCTGTGGTTGTTGCTGCTGTTCTTGTTGTCGTTGCTGCCAAAGTGTTGTCGATCCGACAGATTACAGACAATCACATGAACATCACACACACCTGCAAGACACCTCTGTGGGAGCAAACAATGCTGCTCGCGATGCGGTATCTGCAAGCTATCTTTTTCAGAATACGATAGTACGAGTGCGTATCAAACAGGGAGCCTTCCGGTACCAGGGGCAGGCAGGTAAAATTGTTCGTTGAAAGTGCTGTACCGTACGATATTGCGGCACGTTTTTTTGGCGCGCCGTAACGAAGCGAATGCAGAATGGAAATGCACCATACGGTACAAGTTTTGTACGGTACGTACGTACGGTAAGACCATGCGAGGGCAAAAGACAGGTAGGAGTCCCCCCTCCCATACGGTATGTTAAGTACGAGTACGTACTCGTACTCGTACCTTTTGTCCATGAGTCTTTGCGAGGAACAATAAATCTTCAATCTTAATGGGTGATTCCCGTTACTCTAGATCTCTAAAACTCTAAATCTAGGGATCTGGAGTAACGGGAATCAAGAGAACCAACGGACAGACTGAGAGGATGCCGGCACGATGCCAGTCTTTTACGGAATTTGGAATCCTAATTATTTTTCAACGTAACGACTAAAAAGACTCAAACGCGCGCCATGGTTCAAAGTAAAACATGAAATTTTGCACCTTGAGCTCTTCTTTTTCTTGATCGCGTTGTACTTGTTCCTGATGGATTTCTTGCTTCTATCATAGGGATACTTCACCGCGTGCTTGGTTACAACAGTATCCCACTGTTCAGAATCAATTGGTAGCACCTCCACGATCAACTCCATGAGGCTCTCTAGCTCTTCATCCAAGTAGTTAACAGTACCAG